CCAATAGGAGCGGAGCACCAATGAAGAATGTTTCAAAAACGGAGAAAATTTATTACTATTGAGAGACGCAGACGAAGTTGCGCGGGTCAGCTAGTATAAAATATAAGATAAGATGTTCGGTTTTACTCACTTGTTCCGACTTCACTACTTTCATTTCGAAACTGATGGGTGCCTTTTACAAACTGCCACACACAAGGTAACGGTAACGTCACCCTTCGACTCCGAAACCAGTCGGTCATTCACGAAATATATAGGTGAATAAAACTGTATTTGTAAAAATGTATGACTATGAGTTGATTTGAATATACCTCATAACTTTTTTTTATCCTAAAACCCGGTAAAAGTCTAATGTCACTACATACACGCATACACATTGTTTTGACAATAATAATCTTATGTGAAAACCTAGCCCACTCTTGCTGCGTAAACATTTACACCGATTGTTCCTTCTCATTACCTTGAATCTACGAGGAAGTAATTATTTGAGGGCTATGCTCGAGTAAGGTTACCTTCGAAGATAAAAGACTAGAAATGTATTCGCTATAGCCATTGAATAATGATTTTGGAATAGTTATACAAGACGTTATGAGAAATACTACGAGGGGTGATCAATAAGTAATGATAATCGAGTATTTCTAGAACGCACAAAAACCCAAATTTTTTTTTTTTCTGCTTGCTTATATATCCACTACTTCAGCTTCAAAAAAATGTATAAATAGGACACCATTACCGGGAGATACATTCATTTGAATACGAACTGTCGAAGAGAAAACATCAAAATGGAGAAAAATGAAATAAGAGCTGTCATCAAGTACCTCTGCCTGAAAAAAATGTCTACCAAAGACATACACAGCGACTTAGAGGAAACATTGGGGGAGTCTGCTCCTCCATATTCCACAGTCGCACGCTGGGCAAAGGAATTTAAGCTGGGCAGAACCTCCACTGAAGATGAACATCGCGAGGGACGCCCTTCCACGTCCCTTACTGGAGAAAACGTCAAAAAAGTGGAAGATATCGTGTTGGCCGATCGAAGGGTGACCGTAAGGCATGTAGCTGAGGTCACAGGGATCTCCTATGGCAGCGTTCAAAAAATCATTGTCAACAAAATGCATATGAAAAAGGTCTCTGCGCGTTGGGTACCGAGAATGTTAACCGACGAGCAAAAAAAGAAACGAGTCGATATTTCGAGGGTGAATCTTCAAAAGTTCCAGGCCGATAAAGAATTTTTTTTGTCGTGTTTTGTGACCATGGACGAGACCTGGATCCACCACTTTGATCCCGAAACCAAACAACAATCAATGACTTGGAAAAGAGCTTCCTCACCAACGCCGAAGAAATTCAAAGTGTCAAGTTCAGCGGGAAAGGTTATGGTCTGTTTTCTGGGATGCAGAAGGAATTATTATGGTGGAATATTTGGAAAAGGGGGCCACTATAACAGGCTCTTACTACGCAGGCCAAATAAGAAGATTGCGAGAAGCTATTAAGTCAAAAAGACGCGGTAAACTGCGCGCTGGAGTGCTGTTTCACTAAGACAACGCCCCAGCTCACAAAGCCGCAGTTGCGATGGCTGCCATTGAAGAAACGGGGTTAGAACTGCTCGAACACCCTCCCTATTCGCCAGATCTAGCTCCGAGTGACTTCTACCTCTTTCCTCGGCTCAAAGAACACCTCCGGGGCAACAAATTTGAGGACAATAGTGAAATGATGGCCGCAGTAGAGGCATTTTGGGAGGGTCAAGACAAAGAATTTTTTTCTAAGGGAATCATGGGCTTAGAAAAAAGATACGCTAAATGTATTAACTTGCAAGGAGACTATGTTGAAAAATAAAATACTTTTTTTAATCTAATAGTTCTGTTTCATATTGATTATCATTAATTATTGATCACCCCTCGTAATCAGTATGTCTGAAACATCTAATCATAATATTTAATTAAACTAAGAAACCTTACAAGATACTACCGGAAGGTAGTAGAAATACGTATAGAGGAAAAAATGACTTTCATGATTATGGCAGTTCCACCGTATATTAGTATTATAGTATTTCGGGGAAGCCTTATTAAGTGTTCTAATAATCTCTTAAAGCAATGTAGGTACAGTAAGAAATCACCAGTACTCTTGTAACTAGAATTAGAGCGAAAATATCAAGAAAAAACGGATTTTTCAACCCGTTAACAAAAAAGCAAGGCTACTTAAGTGAAGTGGAAAATTATATCAAGAAGTTTACATAAAGCTAAATTACATAAGTCTATACAAAGACAGTTCAAGTTAGTGAACAATAAAATAAAACTTAAGACATTTAAATAGTGGATATTCAGCACCATCAGATAAATTCCTAATAAATAAAGGATAAATTAAAACCTATTTATAACCATAGACGACGGGCTCTTTTTACAGATTTTTTTTTTATATAATATTTATTTACATAATAATAATTATAATGCATTAGAAATGCATTGTTTATATCACTAGCTGGAATAAAAGCCCGTGTCCACCGTCCGAACTGCCCAGTACCCGGGTAGCAATAACCTCATTCTCTATAGCGGCCTGTCAATTAAACTATCATCACCTGTCATCACAGTGGATGAACCTATGGCGAGATGTACACCAAAGCCTAGGGTTTAACTAATGCCGCTTTCTGCCAAGTAATGTTTCTGACATTAGGACTTGAATGTTTCTGACATTAGGAGGAATTTGATAATAAATTACTTACAAATGAAAAGTAACGTCATCTTTTTTGTAAACTTGACGTGGCAGATCTCTTTTTGATGCAAAAACGGCACAATTAGGCATTTTTGTAGGACGGTCTGTCGTCTACTCGGCAACGCAACTAAATTTAGGCCCGTATTTTGAAAGACGTCTCAAGTGTCGGTTGAACTCTGATTGCCTGAAACTAGTTTTAAGTGCAGATCAAATCTTAAGTATCGATCTTATTATAGAACGCGTTTTGAGTTCTACTCAGTTGAAACTAGTTTCAAGTATTGATTTGAACTTACAGTCTGTTCTCAATTACGTTTCCGCATGATTGACATTATTATTCCGCATTACGCAGCTAATTATTAAAAAAATATTTTTCTTTTACAAACATAATTCCTGTGAATTTGTATATAATATACTATAGGCTAGTGTAGCAATGTTAACATATTAATAAGCTTGTTGTTCGTTCAAAATGAAATTTAATAAATATTAAAATAAAAATGACTAGCTGTATGAATAGGCTATTACGGAACGTTGAAGTTATTTATCAACACTCATCATGTTGAAATGTCAAACGATGTTTTTATTTGATATTTCTGAAATTTATATTACTATACTTTTAACATAAACCAAAAGATTGTGGTATTTTAAACTGGCATTGTGTGTGTAAAACGTGAATTGTGGTGAATTTAATATCAATTAAGGTAAATTAAAGTGAAATTGATTATAGTACGATAAGTAATTCTTTCGTAAATGAAGTAAAGTAAATCTTTCGTAATTATTCAAAAACAAATTATCGTAAAACACATTCATTTCCCCTAAATGCCTTAGAAATCACCGCTTGAGACTAGTTTCAGCTTGTCTCACGTAAACAAAGATCACAGCTGTCAAAATCTATACCTGAGTAATGATTTCGACATAAACATCGTTCTAAAATAGGCTATCACTCACTTGAGTATGGATCGGTGAATCTCGTTTTAAGTGACGTTCAATAAAAAAATCTCTACTTAAAATTAGTTTTAAGACTAGATTCACGACTGAGACACCTTTTAAAATACGGGCCTTAGTCTAGTGAGCGGTCCAGCTGTAACAAGTTTTATTGTACGCATATGACCGTGTGGACTTATACTTTGCAGAGGGGAACGCCTCGTATGGCTACTCCCTACCGTGTTGCTCTATGAATACGATGCTATTTGATATCACACAGCCTATATCTATGTAAGTACTAATGCTTTTGATACAAAGTTCTACAAACTAATACGAAGATCCTTAAAAGAATAGGCTAATAATTTATGGCTTATCTTTTAAAACACATGATGCTTTTAAAGCATAAACAGATATGGATCTGATACATTATCTTTACATACTTGCAAATATTTTAAATGTTACCAATATACAGGTGACTGACTCCACAGATCCATTAGACAGACAGGGTAAAAAACATTTATGTTTATAGATGACATTTAACAGACAATTTGTGGTTGATAAGGTTTGAAAACCAATAAATTGATATCTGAATCAATAATTCGTTGTTTAGAAATGTGTACCCTGGAAAAAAGTATTTTATTTTCATGCTAAATTTATTATTTGTTTGCTACTTATACCGGTACTTATATTTTACCATACCTTTCTATAACAGTCAGTATATTGTGACCTGACATAGCACAAAAATCTATACCATGACAGCTCAAGTTATACTGGTCTGAAATATAACGCTATATTCAAAACTGTTGGTGTTCCACGGCCAGCTGATTATAACTATAGACTAAAGACATGTATTACAAAAAAAAACACGATAATATGCAGTCAAGTTTGTTCATATCACGGGCAGTTCGAAATGTCCGTATGCAGGGTAAACGATGCGATACACACATTTACTATAAAACAACGGTCAATGAGAAAATCAACGAAGGGACAAACGTACATTGTCTTTATGATAGTTTTGTCATTTCTAGTTTTTCACTAGTTGTTTATCATTGTAATACGACTTATTAGTCACCACTTACGTCATCAGTATCTAACAATGATAATATTTTACATTGAACACGAGTATGTACGTATTTTATTACAATATTCATTAGCAAAATTTGACCAGTTTTACATTTGGGCAGTAAATTATTTTCTCAGTTCCTCTCTTACCGTTTTTTGTCCACGCATACTTTCATTTTAAGTCGATCCAAAACTTATACGGTTCGATACTAGAAGATACTTTTAGAACTGGAAGTTTCGATTGAAATACACATGGTTACCTATCCTTGTGGTTTGAATATTGGACTTCAACGATATTCACTGAATCCTATTCTTACCTGGTCAAAACAGAATAAGGGCGGCACTGTGGGAAGGTCTTTGTTGATTTGGTCCGCACAGAGGCGGGACGTGCGTCCTACACCTGACAGCAACATGGTATGTTCCAAGAGTGCGTTACTTAAGTCTGCAGTGCACAGATTATCGAAGCCACATAAGTTAATAGATAAGATAAAAGCTACGTGTTTGTTATACATACATTGCAAATGCAATGTATTTGATTGATTTACCATTATACGTCTATTTTATAAATTGTGTAACCGATTACCGGTTCCGTGTGGTCCTTTCATTATAAAGCCGTCGGTTTTGCATAGTTTATAAGAAATGAAATGTACCTGTGGACAGGCAAGATCACTAGTTCCTACGCATAAAAGAGGATTTAACCAGTTGACAAAGGTTGAAGTTCAACAAAGAACGATAAGATCCAAAATAATGTTTGGTACATCATCTATGTTTAATTAAAAAAAATGCATTAATCAAGTTAATGTAAAATAAAATATTTAATACGATTGAGATTAAATCTGAAACGCATGAATAGCACCACACCACCTAAAGGTTGACTAGAAGAGAGTGCCATGGGGATTAAGTCCACCGACGTATCTACAAAAGTGCATAAAGTTATAAATAAATAAATAGTAGGTAAAGGTCAGTGTAGTTACGGATTAAGAATACAGGGTATCACCACCCCTATTCATCCCGTGAGTGTCGTAAGAGGCGACTAAGGGAGCAAACCACGCAGGACAACAGCACTGCAGAGAGAAGGAAAACTTGACACAAACCCTATACCAAACCCGTCTGGCCAGCGTGGTATAGTAGGCCAAAACCTCCTTTTTAAGGCTCTCCTTAGCTTTTAATAGTCCACTGCTGAACATAGGTCTCTACCTATGTTCAGCAGTGGACTATTAAAAGCTGTTGATGTGATGTGTGATGTGAGGTAAATGTTTTCTATATTTAGACGAACCATAGTTGAGAGTTGTATGGAAGTAGACTAATATTGCAAGAGTAGTAAACCATGTATACAACACACATGTCCTAACTAATATTTCACAATGTAATCTGTTTATCATCTTTGTTAACATTGTATTACGTTATTAACACCGTAATACACCATGATAATATTGGTCAATTTGGATTAAACGGTTAACTCTCATCACAAATAATATCAACAATGATAACATAGATAGGTTCAAAACATTATTTAGACATAATTATTTTAATAAGATATTAATGAACTATCTAGATGCTAGTGTCATGGGGTCCGTGCTAGTGCTATGTAAGCGTACTAGCTAAGCAACTGATCGACACTTCTCGTGATCAGAAGGCCGGCCTTTTTTTAGCACAGAGAGTTAGCATTGCCATTCAACGTGGCAATGCTGCCAGTCTTCTGGGAACGCTACCAATAGCGTTTTAATTATAAAATATTAGTATTTTTAGTTCATTCATAAAAGCCTATTTATAATTACGTAACCTTAATATTATATTATTTTTTTATTTAATTAATCATAGTAACTTAGATCTAACATTTACATTTTATACTCGCCAAACCTAATTGTTTAACGGGAGTCGCGCTCGTATAACCTATCGTATTTATAGTGAAATCTCTTTTTAGAATAACAAGACAAAAAAATCATAATTATTGTAAAGAACCCATTAACCTTATCTATATAGATTTCACTAAATATAGACAGATTGCAAAACTAAGTTTTTATCAATATGACACACTATCAGACAAAACGAAATATACTTACGTAAACACAATAAAAATAAATGAAATCGATCAGTCTAGAGATTATTATTTTTAAATTTGGTAATAGAATCAGCAATAAATACCTACAGCAGTAATATTGCAAATAACAACATAATAACATATTCCTATAATATTTTAATCGTGCATTAACACGTGACGGACGAAACGACAGCATTTAGGCGGCCAACGACCGTATTTAGCTGTATTCCATCGTGTTTTAAATTTAAGCTACTTGATGAACTTATTTCATGAACAAAAAGCATTCCGTGGCGACTGCACACAGAATCTTGAAACTGTAACAAAAATTCATCCGTGGGTTAATTCCCTCAAAACGCTTTTTGGCCATTTGCCAATATTATACCACGCAGTGCTAATTAAAGTATGTCCACACGTTACAAACGACACATTCCAGCTGAAACAATGGATATAGGACGTTAAAGTACATTTTTAACTTGCCTAGAATCTACAGTTGTATGTTTTTGGGGAACAAAGCCTAAAGACAGAAACAAAGTAATTTAAAAATATTCAGTGTTTCGGTTGTCTGGATATTATTGCACATTATTTCAATTAGTAATAGCAACTTCTGATTCACGTGGCCCTCGAGAAGTAAAGCATTTCCAGGTAAAATATGTGACACAGTTCATAGAAGAATTCAACATTATATGCATCACAATCTATATCGCTAATCAACAATAGTCTTCGAATAATGTCGATCCCTATATTTCATACAACCTTCTAACTTCCCAAGTTTATAAAATCACTCAAACAATTACAGAAATAATTAGCGAAACACTGTAAAATTGGCAAGGTTTTATCACTGGCTATTGAAATATTGTTGTGAAAATAGGTTTTTCATAGAGGAACATCCATACCCATACAGAAAAAACAAACATCACAGTATAAGACTACTGTGTACAAGGATCCAGATGCGAGCGCATCCTGTTTTCCACGACGCCGAAGAATCTTCTGGGGAACAGGAAAATTTGTTAAAACACACGACTATTAGACTCTTTAAAAAAGCTATAAATTATTAAAACCTTTCATTAAACATCATTAAAGAGGAACGTTTTCAAAAATGTTTATGCGTATTATATGTAAATTATACCCTAACAAGTGTACCCGTAAATGCACGGTTTAGTTCGACCGATAACATCGTCTAGATGCCCAACAATAGGTGCGTCATGCTCACGAACCTCCATTGATTTTAAATCAGTCTGTTTGCCAAGCAACCCAAGCTACAGTGAATGTCAGAGACATAAATACAGACTTAATCTAAAATCTTATTTCTAAACTTCGAGTTATTCTGAATGTCATACAGCATAATTGGAGATGCAGTTTCAAAGAGTGAGCAAAACGATTGAGTCGATCTAAGTAAAGATTTGAGATAATAAGAAGGCTTTGTTCATGAAATACAAAATTCGACCATAGCAATAGGCTAGTCACATTGTCCACACAGCCGATAACTGTTAAGGTAGAGTTTAGAAGTGGAAACTGCGTCTAGCGTAGTGTAAGACACCCTACAACCAGGTGGAGTGACGATCTGCGCAAAATAATGGACAATGAAAAGCTGAAGATAGTTTAAGATGGTTCAAATAGTTATACGTTTGTCCTAAACACTGAACACTTGGATAAGTCAGTTATAAATTTATTTAATTAATATAAGGCGTGATTGATTTATCGCTAAGCTAAGTACTTCAGATTTCAGTAATAGAAATTTCAGTTGAAAATTGTATCCCATTTATAAACAGGAAAGCCACCTTAGCATGTTATGAAAGTCACCGTAAAACATTTGCAGAAACGGCAACTTACAAATATAAATCGGTTTCAAATTCATCATAACTATCGTAACCCTCATACAGTACTGTTTTGAACAACTTATTTAGTAATATCATTATAAGCTAATCATATGAATTAGAATCTTTGCATCTTTGCATGCCATTCGTCGTCCGTTCTATTACTGGTCGTCAATTTGTTACGGTTTAATTGTAAAAAAACGCCGAATCATTGGTCTGGTTTCTTTTCTAACAAATAAAATAGCTTTGTGTTTATTCACTTATATGAATTGATCGCGGCTGTTGAATACAGCCGCGATATAATCCCAAACTCACCTAAATAAAAAAAAATGGTACCATTGGATAAAAAGACACTACCGAACAAATACTAAGAAGTGTCAAAGACCAAATAAATACTTTAGAATAATAATATGTAAAGTAGGGAAAGTGTGATTGGTAAGTTAACAAGATAACACAAGATTTTCAGTTTTATTATCTAAAAACATATAAGGAGTAGGAAGTGGCCTTCCTCATAATCTCTGTGTCTAGGAAGAGATTATAATGCATTGAACCATTATGTAATTAAGATATGAGTAGAGGATTCGATCCCGGTCGATTTTTATAATCCGGGGATTTCGGGATTATCTACAGTTAATCTCGGGATCCCGGGATAGTCCCGGTCGATTTTTATAATCCCTGGATTTCGGGATTATCTAGTTAATCTCGGGATCCCGGGATAGTCCCGGGATTGTTTTGGCAATGGAAAGTGGTAACAAAAAGACAGTAAAACATATCAAAATATTTTTTTTGTTTATCATTTAGTTTTGTGAGGACATTTATGTTTTAAATCTCCAAAAAGGCGGTTAAACAAAATTATACTTTCTTCTTGCAAACTAGTGCCTAGTTTGTTTTGTGTTTCGGTAAATAATTTAGGAAACTATCTATAAACTTCAAAAAATCAACTTCTTTAGACTTATTTAGATAAACTATAAAAAAAAACTATATGCTTAAGAGACCAATGTTTATAGATACCTACTCATATTTTTTAATTAAATTGCCCAGAAACTTTATAAATTACACACTTTTACGCATAATCCAGAACCGGTCATTAGCAAAAACAAATGAAATCAGCTGTGTAGACAAGATGGCTGTCAAAACATCAAATCAAGGCAAGGGCGTTTCTTTTTACGCACATTTTTATTGACTTATGTAAAAAATGTATCAATCCCGAAAATCCCGGGATTCATTAAATTTGATCCCGAAAATTTCGGGACTAAAATATGAATCGAATCCTCTAGATATGAGGTATCCTATACTTCGTTTTTTTTTTGAGGATTCGATCCCGGGATCCCGGATCTCGGGATCCCGGGATCGAATCCTCTAGATATGAGGTATCCTATACTTCGTTTTTTTTTTGTGAATAAGACATCTGTTTAAAACAGTTTTTACTTAACTGAGAAGAGTAACGTTTGTAAATCCGATACAAATATTATAGGCTTTAAGGGCTTTGTATTTCAGACATCATTTTTAATTTCCGTGTTAAGTACATTTCAATAGTAGTATAGCATATATTATGCTC